TCTGAGTTTTAGCACCGCTTACCACCCCCAGACTGATGGGCAGACAGAACGAACCATACAGACTCTTGAAGATATGTTGAGGGCTTGTACCATTGAGCTTAGAGGTAATTGGGATAGTCACTTGCCATTAGCTGAATTTGCCTACAATAATAGTTTTCATTCTATCATTCAGATGGCACCTTATGAGGCATTGTATGGAAGAAAATGTAGATCGCCACTGTGTTGGACAAAATTAAGTGACAGAACTGTTTTGGGGCCAGACATTGTTGATGAGACTACCCAAAAGATTGCTTTAATCAAGCAAAAATTACTCACAGCTCAAAGTAGACAAAAATAGTTATGCGGATAAGAGGAGAAGATCGCTTGAGTTTGAAGTAGGTGACCATGTATTTTTGAAAATCTCTCTGGTAACTGGTGTTGGAAGAGCTATTAAGGCTAAGAAGTTAACACCAAGGTTTATGGGGCCTTTTGAGATCTTAAAATGAGTTGGACCAATAGCATATCAAGTAGCATTACCACCCCAAATTGCTGGAATACACAACGTATTCCATGTGTCACAACTGAAAAAGTATCAACCAGATCCTTCCCATATATTTGAACCCGAGGAAATTGAACTCAGGGAGAATTTGACATTCAGAGCTGAACCAACAAGGATTGTGGATTACAAGGACAAGCAATTAAGAAACAAGACTATTAATTGGTTAAAGTAATTTGGAAGGGCACGACTCCAGGTGATGCTACGTGGGAGATCGAGGACAGTATGCGACGTGATTATCCTCGTCTTTTTGATTAAGTAAGTAGTTAATAGTTACTAACTTCAAATTTTGAGGACAAAATTTTTAAAAGTAGGGGAGAATTGTAACATCCCAATTTAAATTTTAATAGTTAATTTGGGTTAATAGAAATTTTAAAAAATATTTAAAGGTAAGCAAATTAATAGGAGATTCTTATTAAATCTAACTTAGGATATAATTATAAATTAAAATTAAAAAAATTAATTAAAAAAAATAAAAAAAATAAAAAAATATTATTAAATAATTATTATTATTATAAAAAAACAAACAAAACAAGAAGAACAAGAAAACTTTCGGCGTGCGCATGTAATCATTATATTTATATAATAATAATAATAATAATAATAATAATAAAGAAAGAAGAGAGAGGAAAGAGGAAAATAATTTAAAAAAAATTGTGGGACCCACATTCGTTTTTAAAAACCACCGTTCTCTTCTCATTTTTCCTTCATTTCTCTTCTCTTTCGTGTGCGATCAGAGAGAGTGTCTGTGAGCTAAGTTCACCGGTGCTGGGTTTTAAGGTAAGAGTTTTTAATAGAATATTTAAGGTGTGATTTTAAGCTTTTCAAGACTAAGTAAGTGTTCTAAAAAATTTTCTTAGTCATCCTTCCTTTTTAGTTTCTGATTTTGTGGTGGTAGAAATTTAGGATCTGGAAGAGAGATAAATTTATGTTGAATAAATATGGTTTATGAAATTGTTAGTAGTATAATAAATGTTCTAGAGTATAAATTTGTTGATGATCTTTGAATTTGTGGCTTATGGATTAAATTCTAGACTAGATCTAAAAATATATGTTAATTTATTGAGGTTTAGATGATTATTTGGGATGAGAAATGAATTATTATGGCTATAGGATTATGATTCTAAGCTAGAGACTCAATTTTTAATTTTTGAGTATTTTAGGTGCGAATTTATAAAATAAAAAAAATTTTGATAATAGAAATTAGTTTAAAATTTGATTTTTAGATTATTAACGTTTATTGATAATTAAAAGAGGAGTTAAACATTTTACTTAATAGTGTTGACTCTAAATTTGTATTAAGATTGAGATTAGAAATTATGTTATATTTTTAATTCTATTATTAGAATTATTTTATTAGTTTCAAAAATTGAAACTAATATTTATAAATAATATGTTATTTGTAGATTGTATTATTGGTGAAGATTGTGGTGGGAGAGAAATTATAAGAAATAATTTATTGAAAAAGCCACGAGGTAACCATGCTTTTAATTTGTGATTAGTGTTACTTCATGTTAATTGGGTGATTATTGAGAAAATTATGAATTTTATAATATTATATAATTGTGCAATATTATTATGAATTTATTTGATTATTGTGGGAGGTGTTGGGAGACTTGCTATTGTTGTTGTATTTATGTGCCACGTGGTACGCCCCTATTGGAGCTCAATAGGTGACTTGTAAGAGCTCGGGCTAATCTACCTTTGGCCGAGTAATTTAGCACCGAGTGAGGGCTGCAGCTCGAGGTTAATGGAGGGATATAAGGATGGTTATTTGTGTGTATTGTAATATTTCTTATATTTGTTAGAATTATATTATTTTTAATTCTCACTTAGTAAGCACACGCTTAACTGTTTGTATACACTATCATAAATTGGCTTTGATTATGGGACTTTTGAGTCTCATTATGTGGTTAACAATTTTCAGGAAAAGAGCCACGAGTGACACGTGGAGGAGTCTTAGAGGCTTAGTGGTTTAGATCCACTGTCTCTTTTGGGTATTTGATTTATGATTTATAATGTGTTATATTGCCAATATTAGGTTTTTTATTTATTGTCAATTATATGAATATATAAATGTAATCATGCCTTTTAAAATATTTTTATTTTTGGTACAATTTGGATGACTGTAATTTTAATATTTGGTTTACTTTGGATTGGTTAAAATGGCATGATTATAAGGCCAAATAACTGGCTTGTGTTGAAAATTGATTAAATTGCTTATTTTACTTGTTGGGAGTATAAGGATGGACAAATGTGATTTAGTTTACTTGTTGGGAGTATAAGGATGGACAAATGTGATTTAGCCTAATGACATGTGGAAGGTAAAAATTTATCTGAAATGTTATATTGTGTGAGTTGAAGCTAATTATAAAATATTTTATATTGAAATTATTGATATAAAATGTGTTGGGTGGCTGTAACCTAACTATGGTTAAGTTAAATTATTTAAAAAAAAAATTTGGTGTGTTACAAATTTATATCCATAAATTCTCTAATCAAATTGCGTCTCAGTGTTTTACTTCAAATTTAAAAAATAATACAATCTAATTCTTATTATTAATAAAAATTAATTTAATACTTAGTTAATAAAAAAATTAACAGAAAAAATTTAAAAATTGTAGAAAATGATTATAAAATAAAATTTAAAAATTTAAAAATTATCGATAATGATCCAAAAAATTACAAAAAAGTATCAAGAAATTTTTGTTGGCCATTTTTTATAATTTTTAAAATTTTTTATATTATTTTTTAATTAATTAATAATTAAAATTAACTTTTGATAATAATAAAAATTAAATTGCATCGTTTTTAAGATTTAAAAGTTTAAAAAGAATATTGTATTAAAAATGAATTTAAAATCCAAATACTCATGAATTTATAGTTTAGAAATTAATTTATTTTTTTATCCTTTAAAATAATTTATACTACCTTTTTATTATTGTTTTAAATTTTAAATCCCTCGGCATTTTTAGAGAAAGAGAATTCAATTTTCAATTCAAAACAATGCATCGAGCTTTTATCAAGTGATCATCCATTAATATAGGTGTTGTATTTTCAAACACCTAAGAATCATTAAAGATATGTAACTATAGATTTTGAAGAAAATCCTAAATCTGAGTTATAGAAATACTCACACTAAACGAAACCCGCCTCAAGAGAGTTGGTTAGATTAGACCAACGTTTTGTTAACCAAAGTAAGGGAAATTACTTGTCGAGGTCTTTTTTTAAGATGAAAAAGATGATAAGATCATAAGGCTTATTTAAAAGCTTGGTTGTATGCCTTGTGCATCTACAAAGGTTATGAGAAATTCTTAAAAGTTTAAAACTTAGCAAAAACCATCACAAAATGTAAGAGTTTTACGTATGGTGTAGAAACTTTTAGATTATTTCAATAATGAGTTGCATGTCCGTTAGCTATTTAGCTAGTCTTTTATTTCGCGTCAGCATAAGCCGGGAGCACATTTCACTCTAAAATGATTTCTATTATTCATTTAAATTAATTTTTAAATATTTTTAATATTATATGTATTAATATAAATATTCCTATAAATGCTTTTTAAATTTGATAGCATACCCTGACTCAAATAAGTTGTTAAAACCTAACTCATTTAATTTTTTTTTAAATTGGGTCCCCCTTATATTATTTATTAACATGAAGTTTGAGGTCAACCACATTCTTCATAGCTTATAAATTTACCAATCTTATTTATAGTTTCATGATATATATATATATATATATATATGATTGATTGCTCTCTATTCTAGCAGATTTTTTATTATTTATTTTAGACTAAAATAGAGGGTCAAAATTGCACTGGACCTGATGAGCACTGGTGCTCATCACAATTTGATGAGCATCAAATGTAAACACTTTCTTTTTGCATGTTTTAATTGAGTTCTAAATAAGGAAAAAAAATTCAATTCAAAACCTCAAATGAGACTGTACCAAAAAAAAAAAAAAACTCAAGTAGGAGATCTCTTGCTTAAGCAATAGAAATGTTGAGCAGCAACCCTTTTTTAATACTATTTGATGATTTTTGGAAACATATATAAATATAAAGAATTCAAATTCAAAACTTTGCTGGAGAAAATAGATGCCAAACCAGTTGAAATCTTTCACATTTGATGGCCAAAACAAAAATTCTTTCCTACCCTTTTTCATTTTTTCCATATGCCAACAATCTACCATTTTATTTTGAAAGGAACAAAACATAGTAGCAAAATACTATTTCAACTTAAACAAACCATATATTTAACAAAAAATAAAAAATTATGCATCTTGCATTCTTTTTCAAAATAGAAAAAACAAAAACTTATTGACATTCTAAGTTCTCTCCAAGTGTAGAGGCAAAGAGAGATACAAATAGAGGTTTTATGGGCTCTATTTCTCTCTACCAAAAGGCATTTGGAAAATTCTCCACTTGGAGAGAATCTCTGCTCTATTACTGACAAATTACCACTAACAAAACTCTAAGCAAAGATTGCAACCTAAGAGCCAGAAAAGCCCAAGTCCACCTTCTCAAAAGAATACCCTAAAAATGTATAATGCTCAACTCGGCAAATTTAAAGGGGACCTAAAATGTATTCAGCAAGGTCTCCCTGCTTCTCCAAATCCCATATGATGACTCTTCCATCCAAGCCTACACAGTTGAATAGTGATTTATTATGCATTAGCAGAGAAGGGCCTACTGAAATTTGCCCCAGAATTATACCTATTTAACAAAAAATAACATTAACTTTGAGATGAAGTTTAACATAATTTTTAAGACAAAAATAGCCCTTTTTCATGGCTAACCTGATGTGCTGAAACGCTTTATCAATGTCCCACGGCCCTCAGAGGCAAGACACATCTGCATTCCTTAAAAGGCACTAATCATCATTTGAATTTAGTATGGACATACATTGCTGAACTTCGTTTCTATTGTTGGCTCAATTCATCCACTTGAGCATGTCTATAATACTTTGTTGTTACTACTAGATAATGTATGCCAACAGATTTCTGTAAGTCGCATAGATCTTGACTAATAATTTGGGTTGATTTAGGTCCAACCACATAAATCCAAAGTTCTCCTATGGTTAGTTTTTGCTATATTTACAAGACTCAGAACTGAGGATCTACTTAAAACAAAAACAAAAAAAAAACAAAAATATGTCAAACAACTTGAAGCAATTGTCCTTAATGGGTTTTTTGAATAAGAATACTAAAATCATTTTCATTCGCACTCTTATTGTTTTGCTTTCTTTTTCCCGCATTTCTACAAACATATACAGAAACAACAGCAATTGATAGATAGAGAGAAGTCATGAAGGAGCTAAATACTTTATACACTTCTCATGAGAGCCCCCACATTCTTTTGAAGATTCCACTGTCACTTCATCCTTGATTTGACCAGTAAATCTTCCAAATATATCAGCATACTACAGAAAAAGCATACTTAGATAAAGAAAAACTGTATTTATTCTGCATTCTACTTTCACAGTAAAAAACATTATAATTAAAAAAGATATAAATGATGATTTATATTTAAAATAAAAATTAAAATAATGTATCATTGAAAAAATATGCCATGCTGTTTTCATATCAAAATCCTTAGAGTGCTAAAAGATATGCTCACATGAAAAAATATGCCCTAGGTGAGCATTACAAGAATCACATCATGGATCATTGAGATATACCCATCAATGTCATGCATTAATTAATGAAAAAGAAAGAGAAAAAAATGAATTATGATTTTCAATTGAGATCTTGTTTCCAGCAGCCATGCTGTGTATAAAGCAGAGTCTAATTTAGGAAAAGTATTTACCTTGGATCCATATTTTGAACTGGACGATCTTGGTCTTCTTTCTCCAAGATGTCTGATAAATTTCCTAGACAACATAACCATATGATAAAAAAAAAGGGAAAAAAACATGCAACTGTATTATAAGATGTAGGGCCCATGAATAAAGGTTGTTGTACACTGAGAGAATACGATAAAAGTAAATTTGACAACACATTTTAGCATAAAACTGCAACACAATTTTATCGAGTCCTTTTACTTGTATACCTCCTTTTCAGTTCGTGGAGTACGTGTTATCAATTTTCAAATAAGTTCTTAATCTAAAGAAATACAAATATACAAAAGTTTTACATACCATTTATCTCTTTCATCTTTGACAAAAACCAATGGGACGCAGTCGAATCCCACACCAATTACCATATTCTCAGAAATAAAACAAACCTGAAAACATGTCATACTATAATGAACCAGTTTCACAGGATCATATGAGTGTACTAAAATTACAGTAAACCCTAAGACATTTTAAAAGAGGTTTATAGAGAGTGGATTCTGACCCACATCACAGAGAGGCAGATCACGATAAGCAACAGTTTGGGTCACAGGAGAAGAACCAATGTCATTGACAAAATATATAATTGAATTATGACCTGTAATTAATATAACAAAAATATAAAGCAGTCATAGTTTGTAGATAGATAATGTATAATCCCAATCAATACATGAAAACTGAAAACCATAAAGATATCAACAAAACGTAAGCGGAAGTCTCAACTTTATGGAATATTAGAAATTTTAAAGCACATAAATTACAGCCTTAATTTCAATGACAAAAAGGATAATTTTCTGACCTGCATAAACTAAAGTTTTGCCCTTTGGTGACCACTTGACACCAAACGTCCAGGAGACAGAGAGATCAAGCTGAACAATTAACTGTTACATAAAGGAAACAATATAAGTAGAAACTTTTCTCCACTGATAGTTATTTTCATTAAATTATAAGTTTAAAAACATCTGGGACATCAAACTCACTTTTAATATAATATTTATTTTTAATATTTTAAAACAGCACTATATTGTTCCTATTGTCAATAAATGTTAACTTTAACTATTGATTAAAGTTTTTGAAAGTAAAGGAAACATTGTACTAAGAATGATAGAAGTGACATTATACTAAATGATAAATTTACTCTTAAACTATAAATTTTTTCTGTAGTTTTCTGTTAATGATAGGAGTTATTGAATATTACCAACTCTCTCTCTAGAATCTTCTTTCTCTCACTAACAAACACCAGATTTTTCTCTATTAATCTAGATCTTTCTATTTGCAAGGCAAAGGCGGTGAAAATGAAATATATATATATATATATATATATAAAAGAAGGATCTGGATATATGTAATCACGGCCATTCATCACTGATAAATACGTGTGGGTGTATTTGTGAAAGGGTGTGGAGGAGAAAGATAAGCCAAAGTGAGAAGTAGAAGTAAGTGAATGAAGTGTCTGATACTTGGGTTGAGTGTGGGAAAAGAAAGAGAGGATAGTATACGAGCGTCACGTTAAGGTAAGAGAAAAGTGAGGGAGAAAGGGCGTAAATTATAACCAAAAGTTTGTAATAGAATTTTTTTTTTTTCCAGTGAAATTCCTCCTTCTATGTTTAAGCCTACGTCAATTATTTGGAAGTGCCGCCATTTAAATTTCAATAAGGTGACATTGTACTGTTGTTTTAAAAGTTGAAGGAAATATTATATTAAAAATAAATTTTATATCTTAAATATTTTTGAACTTATAGTTTAAAAATAAAATTATCCTTTAATTCTTTTTCATTTTAGTTTCCATTCAGTTCCTGCTAAATTTTAGAATTATAGGATACAGAGTAGCATATACTTCACATCCAAAGCATAGAGAAAATATTGAGAAGATTCGGCAGCATGCATATAATTGATTTTTAAATTGAAACTGAATAATCATTTTATCGAGTGAAGAAACTGAATAATCATTTTCTTGATCGATCAATCATAGCATTAAATTGGGAACAACGTAAAGAATCCATAAAGCTGGTTAAAAAAAAATAAATAAAGAATTCAGATAAATCGGACCTCTCCAAATTTAGTCTCCGGCGTTGTCGATTCCCTGTAGCAGAATATATACATACATATATATATATATATATATATATTTTTTGAGTAAGTACTGAAACTTCATTCACAAAGAAGAAAATCAAAACAGCAACCTAAAACAACAAGAAATCTAGAAAAAAAAAATATAAGAAACATCTAACAAACCTACAGGCCACCCAAAAAGTTGCTATCTATTTGGCGGCAAATCAAAAAAGTTTAAGACATTACACATGGAATGGTTAGACTTAGCAAGATAGTTAATCATTTTGTTCTCCTCCCTATTTATAAAATTAAAATTTACAAATTAATTTTTACATAAAAGTTTTTTAATAGAACTAATAATATCTTGAAAAAGATGATAGCTGTAACAGAATATGAAGCAACCTTGAATGCTAAAGAACAAGCATAAAAAAAGAACAAAAAAGGTAAATCTTTTGCAGAGTTCTTTTACCGTACTTTGTATCTACACCTTTAATAAAGGTATAAAATACTCGGCATTTTCCATCTGTGGATGTTGTTGCAAGAAGAATCTGTAGTCAGAAAAGTATAATTAATATGAAAGACAAAGTTGATTCCAAATGTTACTAAAGCATCAAATCTAATAATCCCTCTGGTCCTAAATATATAAGCTAGTTGAATTTAGAAAAATAAGCACATATTTTTCACAAATAACTATTTTTTTTAATCTGTGTGAATTATTAATTGGATCCTACATTCAGGAACAGAGGAAGTAATTGATCATGAACTAAAAGAAATAGCAGATCAGGGCAATATCTAGCTATCATGGCCAAAACAGAGAAGGCAGTATCTCACTCTAAAAATTATGCAGGACAAAATTTGCAAGGTAAGCAAAGAAAAAATAAAACACACACACACTCCAAAACAAAAATTATAATTTAAACATATAACAAAAACAGCAAAAATCCTTATTTTGATATAAAATTACAGTTTAAACATAAACTAACATAAAAAAAACATGGGGATATAATATAAATCTCTTGTATAAGTTTAAGAAGAAAACGGACGCTAACATTATTTGGGTGCCATGAAACATTTGTCACTGAAGAATCATGACTTCTCCTGATGAGTTTACTGATCCACCTGCAAGGGAGACATAAATCTATGAAATATATGCTAAAATCTAAATATAGAAAATGCCACAAAGGCACAGTTTTATTGAAATCATAACTTCAAATTCTCTTTCAGACAACAGAATCAAATAAACAATAGGAAGTCTCCTGCTCATAGTAGCATATACAAACAGTTTTGAAAGAATAAGAAAGGCAATGTTACTGTATTATAGTAGCATAAAATTTGTGTAACAAGAAAAGAAGATATGCCATGAAAGTGTGAAAATAAAGTTTCAAGGAAGAGATGGCTTACCAGTTGTTCTCCTGTTCATAGTAGCATATACAAACAGTTTTGGCCCCACTTCCAATTGCAAACTTATTTTCTGCAGTTTATAATTTGGTAAAATGCACTATAATCATTAGTCTTACCATAGAAGTGAACCACTTGATTAATTTAACAGCAGATTTATTTATTTATTGGTATAAAGCGGTCGACAATTATTCTATAGGATGATTAATGGTGGGACTGCCTCCATCCATAACTTGATGCTTTGTTTTGATGGAAAAAAAAAAATTAAGAGTAAAGAAAATGAGAGAAAGGAAAACGAAGAGGAGAGAAAAGTGAAGAGAAAATCTTCTCTCTCTCCTATTTTCTCTTCCCCGTAGTCTTCTCCTTATCCAAGCACAATGTGAGTGTTTTGCAATTTGGCATGACTTACAAGCTATTATTATAAGATTAAAGGATATTTTTTTCCATTAACTATTCGCTCAGTAAAATTTATTATCCTAAATTTTCTTATGGTTCAGTTTTATCCCCTTCAACATTTAAAAATGGTATACTAAGCACCTTACTATTAAAAAAATTAACTTTAACTGTTAATTAGTTAACAAAAAAATTGCAAACGTAAAAAATTTACATAAAATGACCCATAAAATTGCAAATAAATACTTTAGAAAAAATTGATATCAATTAAGCTTTCAAAATAATGGTTGGTCAAAATTATATTTTAGCCTTTTCCGCATGTAAAATATAACATTTGTATCTTATTATTTATATGTAACTTAAGAGATTTAATTGATGCTAATTTTTTTATAGGGTAATTATGTGTAGTTTTATGGATCCTTTTCTATAATTTTTGAAGTATTTTTCTACAATTTTTAAGTTAATTAATAGTCAAAGTTAACTTTTTTACTAGCAAGATACTTAATATACTATTTTCAAATATTGAAGGACAAAATTGTATCACATAAAAGTTTGGAATGTCAGATATTTTTAAACAAATAGTTGAAAGCAAAAATATTCTTTTAACATTAAATCCAAGAAGAAGGCACAATTTTGAACTTTCTAACAAACAGGGAGGAACTAGGAAGGAAGGAAGCGGTATTCCTACCTTTAGGACTCCACTGAACACACAAAGCAGCTCGGTTTAGCCTAAGTGCAACCAGAGTTGGTACCCATTCTGATCCCTCAAAGTTCCATACATATCTAAACCAAAAATATATATGGTAGAAATTTTATTATTTCATGATCATATGAGGGGAAAATTAACAAATTATTAATACCATTATTGAACTTAAGCTATAAACTTCAATATTAATGAATTAAGCTTTAGGGAGTGTAATTTTTTGGATGACCCAGACACTCACGAATTGCGATCATGGGACGCAGTAACTATCCTGTTTGATTTATTACTCCAGTCCATCCCACAGACTACTTGGTCATGCTGCGACAAAGCCAAGAAATTGATTAGAAATTACTTCTTAAACTGTTTTTTCTTGATGAATTAATTAAATATCTATTTATTAATTAACTTATTTTAAGTTATATCCCCTCCCCCGGGGGAAATTGCCAGTCCAAATTCTTTTCAAAAGCTTGTTTAATTTACATGCTCCCGGAGCAATCAGTTTTAAATTGTTTAATTTATGTTTGGATTTATAAAAGATGGAAAAGGACTAACCTTTTGAAGAACATGTGCCTTTTCCCATTTGTCTTCCAACAATTTATAGATGTGCACTTCATTGTTGTTTGGGCAAAATGCAATCACTACAAAAGAAGATAAGATTGAATCACAGACATTGTTTGATAGCCAAAACAAATCAGATTGAATCACCATATACATTCAAGCCAACCAAATTTGGCAAAAACCTCAAAAACAAACCAAGAACATTCCGTTTCCGCAAAATCACTGTCAGAAAACAAACGACAAAAAAAGTTATAGAGGGATGCATTACTGGATTGGTCAGGGCTCCAAGCGTGGCAAGTGATGGGCTGAGAGATTTGGTAGAGTGCGATGCTCGTCATTTCTGAGAGATGCAGCAAAATGGGAAGCGAAGAAAAAGAAGGGCGTGGTTTTGATCCTCTGGTATCAAACCGAGTAGAGGAGATTGCTTCGCGAGATTGAATCAGTGTTTGGCTTGTGAAGGTGATTACTGATTAGCGTGAAGACAGGAGTATCAGTTATAGTCGTTGCATGCTTTGGACCAATGAATTTCTTTAACCATATACATTATTCATAATTTGATTAATTTCATACTCTTTTTTATGTTATACTTATATTTCATTTTATTTCTTCTTGTTCGTTTTAACTTATTTTGAAATTGCTAAATTGAAAAATATTTTTTTGACCGAAAGATTGAAGAATATCCGCCAATGCCCGAAAGTTTGTAAAAATATATTCTGCATATCTGTCTATATATGAAAAACAAGGCTCGCTGATACAGATGCTATAATTCTGCAAAGCCATATAGAATTTCTAAAATAAGGAGAGCATGTCATGTGAAGTAATATGATGGTTTTCAACGTTTATATATTTAAATATAAAGAAGAAGAGTTTTCAATAATTAATTAATATTTCATTTCCATAATAAACAAGGCATGATTGATATAGCAATTATGTAAAAATATACTGACTTGCGGCTGGCTAAACAGTGACGGATCTGAGGGGTGCAAGCATACATTTGGTGATGAATTTTGTTATTTTTACTTTTAAAAAAAATTATAAAACTAATTTTGAACCCCCACTTCCATGAATTCTTTGATTTTGGTCCATCCATCACCATGAGTTAAGTTCTAGATCCGTCACTGTGGCCAAATGCAACTCTTTTTTCCTAATTTGACACTACATTGTATTCATTTTGATTTGATTATTTAATGTGTTTTTAACTGTATTAGGAATGCTCTACATTTTTTATTATAAGCCACAATTTATAAAATCAGCTGTCCAAAACATACCATAATGAAATTCTAGGTTATCACGTAGGTTCATTTTGGTTATTGACCAAAACTGAATCAACATGAACCTATCATTAGCAATTCTAAACTTTACTATAAACGTGACATTATGAGTTTTTCTTCACTGGTCTGCTCTAGTCAATAGTGTCTGAGCTAACATTTACAAGAAGGTGACTCTCTTCTGCTTCAGCGCCTGAACAAGAGGAAACTGGACATAGACCATGAATTGACATGCTTTCTCGGAGGCTTGAATTGTCGCAGAAATGACTTCTTAAGGCCTCATAATTGAAATTAGCTGCTTGATGTCCTGGATCAGAAAGTAGATCCTGCATGTTACTTCTGCCTTCAAGCATGCTCAGAACTTGGGACATTGTTGGCCTAAGTGTAGGAGATGCATTGGTACATAGGAGTGCCACATTTAGCATCACCATGGCCTCCTCAGTTGAGTATTCTGAACCCAAATCTGGATCGACCAGCTCTTGCAGCCTTCCTTTCTCTTGCAAAACATTGGCCTTGGGGGAAAAAAAAAAACTCTGATTTAAGACAAGGGTATAGTCTTGTTAAGAACATGAGAGATTTTCAATTTGTGAAAGTGTTAGGTTGTCTATGCATGAGTAGACTTTAACCGATGTGGGTATAAATTTAGACTCGATAACTAATATAAAATAAAGAAAAAATAACACATAAATTCAAATTTTGAGGTTTTAAATTAAAATGTGATAGTTTTTCGCTACTCTTGCCCATTTGTTCTCCCTCATTTCCAGGCCATTTGCAGACCAAAGATTAGGCTGGCTGTAATTGTAGGACTTGGCCCATTTGTCCTCTCCCTCCCCTTCCAAGCGGCTACTCCCCATTTCTAGCAGAAAGCTCTTTCACACTAGAGGTGTTTCATGTCAAGTGACGTTGAAGATGCTTGTGTTTATTATATTGGTATCCAAGATATTAAAAGGCATAGGATGACACCATTATAGGGGAATCCATTATTTTAAGCTTTTACTGATTTCTATAACATACGAATGATTCATATTCATACTATGAAAATTGTCAAGCCATATATAGAACCCGGTACCCATATAATATGGAGATATACGGAAGGGTTGGATAACATTGAGATCAAATGCTTCCTAAGTTGTGTATTTGTCAGAAACTAAACCGTGTACAAACTTTGATTATATGACAAACTCCAGATAACTGGATTGGAAGTTCCTGGATGAAGTGTGTGTATACAGGGAACAGTACAACCTGAAGATTGTATTTTTGGAAAAGTTTAAAAAAGTTTGATTGTATGAGCTATTATGATTGATTTCAGTTGGAGTAACAAGACAAATTGTAAATATAATGACAAAAAGTTCTCCCACTATTCTACTTTTTTTTCAAGTATAATTATCTAGTCCATCTTTTTCACCTTTTCATCCTCTTCCTCTTCCAGCATTTGATCCAAGAACCCCAAGGTTCAATCACAATGTCTCACCATGGAGATTAACTTTGCCTATAGCTTTTCTACTTTGAGAAGTGAAGCATGGCATTTGTTACTCCAAAATCTTAAGAATTTTCTTATTGTGTGACACTCAATGCAAACCATCACACAATTGTTTTGAAACCAGAACACAGATGATGAACTCGTAAGAAAAAAAGTTCAAATCAGCTTTAATTACCCAATCAAGGAGGAAAACGAATTCTTCACTGGGTATGAAATTTGTATTACTTTTTCCACTGACAATTTCCAATGCAACCACCCCAAAACTATAAATGTCAGCTTTATCAGTTAAATAACCACGCATTGCATACTCAAGAGCCATATAACCACTGCAAAACAATACAATGAAGTCAAAAATAAAAAACATTTAGAAAAGCTTCACTCCAAACTACATATTGTAGTTGGAATGAATAAACCATTTTGTTTTAGAAGACTAGAGAACAAAGCAGCGGCATGTGAGAAACTTACATGGTTCCTGCAACGCGAGTGCTAACGTGGCTATTTTCATCTACATTGAGTTTTGCAAAACCAAAGTCTGAAATCTTAGCATTCAAATCCTTGTCAAGCAACACATTACTTGTTTTTATATCCCTGTGTATGATTTTAATCACACACTCTTCGTGGAGAAAAGCCAAAGCTCTAGCTATACCAAGGCAAATTTTCCTCCTGGTTGGCCAGTCCAATATCACATGGCAGGCAGGATCCTTCCCTGCAAGGATAATTATTTAGTTAGCCATATGTTTGATTTAATTGGACACCATTTCAACTCAAAAACATGAATTATTTAGTAAAATCTGATGAACAATATTCCTGCAAGCTTTAACAAACTCAGCATTGCCAAAGTTGTGGTTTGCCACAGTAATTTCTTTGTAATTGAGCAAGGACAAAACGCAAGTTCACTGGAATTTCCCAGGCTATTTGCTTCCTAGGTGATCATTAAGACACATTTGCTCACATTTGAACTTTGGATTTTAATCCCAGAGTGTTCATTCGATCTAAATAATCCTTGTAGGGTAAGTTCACCATGACATGTGCAGAGCAATAGAGGCTAGGCTCCAGCACCAAGTCATGGACCAATTTATCTAGAAATCTTAAGCTATTTTAGTGAAAGCCATCAATAATTTTATCATAATCTATAACAAATATTAAGCTTACCAAAAAGAACACGAGATAGACAATTGTTTTCCATATACTCATATATCAGCATTAACTGGTCTCCTTCCACACAACATCCATAAAGCTTAACAAGATTGGGATGTTGAAGGCCAGATATCATTCCTAACTTATTCACAAATTCACGGATTCCTTGTGTAGATTTTGAGGAGAGATGTTTTACTGCAATTACTGTGCCATCTGACAGCAGACCCTGCACGAGAAATGAGGTCTAGCTTGTATTTACTAGCATTTTAAACACGCAGCAGAATTTATCTAAAATTTAGATAGTTCTTTGACATTTTCGTTATATACTTCAATCAGCACATATATGGACAAATCTCTGCCTTTAACCACCCAAGGGCCACATTCTTACAGATCGGAGAAATTCATATTTACCATATGCAAAAGCTTTCGTCCTAAGTCATCTGGACCTAGATCCCAGACAATATTTCTTGTCTTTAAAATCAAGTGATTTAGAAAATTTAACAATAGATAGACAGGTAAGAAATTTAACATTATAAACTGGAGGCCAACTTTGATGGAGTTCTTATACAATGCTGCTGAATATTTGGGAGGAAAGTTAATTTTCATTAATGTGAATAGCAAGATACATCCAAAATATATACACAATGGGAAAAACTATATAAAAAAGATAACAAATGCTTGTAAATACCATACAATCAACTCCTAGTCACTAATCCTATCTTAGAAAATATTTACAATAAAAACATATATTCACAAAAATGCTATCAAAATTTTAAGTGAAAATATTGTACATTTTCTACAACCGAGTACAATAAAATTAACTCAAACAACAGTTACTCCAATGTCATGTTTTTTTTTTTTACAGAACCTGGTAGAAATACCTAACAATTTCACCTAAGTTTGTTTCTTTATTTATTTTTTGTATATTACCTTGTAAACAGAGCCAAACACCTTCCCCAATTTTGTTGGCTGCATTGAAGTTTTCAGTTGCTGCTTTGATTTGTCTTAATGTAAATAATCTCATCTGAAGATCTAAACCTCTAAGATCTGAGAAAAAGAAATTCAAATTTGGACGTCATCAAAAAATTGTTTAAAATCTTGTCCAAATATCTTCTAGCACATTCCTTAGTTCATTTTCTGTGATAAAATATCAAGTCATTCAACCATGTGTAGGTATAAAATTTTGCATTAATTCTATGGCATTCAAAGACAATTTTGTGTGTTTATATACATTTATTTCTGAAACATCCATTCCAAAAGAACAGCCATTGTTCACACCTTTGTGCACAGAGTTATTGCCTCCTAGCCAGCCCTTCCTCCTCATGATGCCCAAGACCAAAAGAACAAGAACTATAACAACAGCTATTGTTCCAACCACCATGATATAAATTCTCTTTCCATCCCCGGATGAAGGTTTAGGAGGTTTAAAATCTGTGCAAGGGAAGTTAGTGCTCATAGATTTGGTTGAAACTAAACGAACAATTTAATAAGAGCATATGCAGTCACAAAAGCCATTTTCCCTTTAGTTTTCCTACACTTAATTAAATTTCATCAACACAAGTTAGTAAACTCTATTTAAAATTCCAAAAATAATTTCTTTCTCCACATTTCCTAGTTTGATATGCATTATTAATCAAGTTTCAGATTGAACTATTTCATATTCCATCACATTGTTAAGAAATTTCAGTATCATGAATCCCCCCTCCCTTTTGTATACTCCACATAACAGAAACAGGTTAAATAAGTAAATGCTGAAGGCAAAATACAATTTTGGCCATATGTTGTAAGGAGTGAAAGAAAACTACCTTCAAGTTACAGTACCAACCACTTCTTTAGACCCTTAGCAGGGTAATTTTTAGCTTATAATTACCATGAATATTAAGAAGACTAAAGTATAATTTTCATTGGATATGGGATATTCTTTATAGACCTGGTTTAGGAAGGATAAGTAAATTAAATTAATAATTAATATAAGTATATCAGACATGCTTTTCAGTGGGGCCTACATCTAATATGCTTATATAGCTCTTCCAGATTCACTTTTACAAATCTCTTCTAAATCCAGGTCTACCTGAGAACATATCACTGGATACGTCATATGATATAGGGGCTCAATAACTTTAGTGCAGAACCATATAAAGTGACCGTGTTGATCTAATGTATTCATAGTGATATTTGAGATTACTATATCAAACTATAGTTTCTCCATGTTGGGCTTTTAAGTAAGAAAAAGCACCAACACTAAGATACAAGGCATTATAATTACTTACTAGGATCCACTGATATAGCAGACACTAGAGGTCCATAATATCCTCTCTTTGGTATGCCTGTTGTGCCCTTTCCAGCCCAGTACAAGTGAATTTTCAAGGTATGTTGGGTGACTGTAGCGTTGAATGTCTTCACAACAGGCTCACCAGCACCACCAGCTACACTCTCTATATTGAAGTCTTTCAGGACCAAATTCCCCTTAATATAAACGCACAATAATATATCAATGTACGACAAAGTGGGAAACTATGAACCCCGGACATTGATGGAGACATGCGATACAACATGGATTAATCGACATGATAAATTTCAAAAATAATAAAAATACAAAACATGCATAAATACACACATACATACATAAAATTGGCACGTGTCATATATAAATCCTATTTTCTTTTTAATTTTGGAGTCATGATCTACTTCAACCTAAAAAGACTACCAACTAAACAGTAAGATGTGGAATTATATTATTTAAATTACCCATCTACAACAAAAAAAAATTAGAAAAGAACTTAGATTATCACATCTTGGTAGGGATCTTTGGCACCCATCAAATCTTTTTGTTGGTCATTTTCCTTTTACAGGTCCCACAATGACAGAGCATCCACATACATCCAAGCACAAAACAAAAATTTCAGTTTTTTTTTTTTAAATGGTTAGCACCAAATACTTGGTAGTGTGTCATGGTAGCATCAATGTTCCGGCCTGTATCTAATACAACTGAAAATAGACAAGTCCAAATGTAGCAGGAAATTCATATACCATCAGTTAATCATTTCAATAACAGTTACCTGGATGTAGACATCAAATATCCGCCTGCCAAGACTGTAATATGATCTATCATTCAAGAACAAAATCTCTGCAAAGTGAAGCTTCACAGTGTAGTTTCCATTTAAGAGACAGAGTCCATAATATGTGAGAGAAAGAGGAGACATGCGAGCTGTTGTGTACAGTTGTGAATCGATGACAGAGACATTGAGAAGTGTAGAAGTATTGGTCAGAATATAATTATCAGAGTTCTCATGATTGTCCATGAAGTCCCCTGTGCTGCTAAGTGCCCAGTTCTGGGTGGAGTAAAACACGGCAGCACCTCTTTTTTCTACGTCAGCTTCATATAATATATCATTGATATTTGCTTCCTCACCACCACAATTAACATGCAATGAATAACGATCTGTCGAAGAAACAATGCAGCGTGCAAATTTGTCAATAAATAATGGCAAAAATAGACAATAGAATAGAAATGTGTCACTGAAACTGTTAGAATACAGAATGTGACAGCTTGGTTAACTAGTGACCGGAATTGCATGCTGCTTCAACGTAGGATGCAAATCTGTCACTGGAATTGTTATAATAAATGAAGCGACTCTTTGATGCTAGTGAAGCCTCAGCAAATTTTTAAGTATGTACTGTCACATGCTTACATTGCTTGGTTGAAGCAGGACAAGGAAAGTTCCTTTTCAGGCATGGATTAACCCTACTTCTGCAACAATGAGATTAATTTGAGGTTATATCTTGAATATGAACACCAGATCTGCCCCTACCATCATAGCTTAGCTCATATTTTATAAAAGATTCCTCTAGAGCAAACAGAAAGAGTCCATAGTCCAAGCCTAAAAGCCTTACTCTGTGTCCACAGATGATGAGTAGCATTCCATTATGTTTCTGAATAAAATCGCAAAATGTTATTGCTGTCATAATAAGTCCTAGTGCAGAAAAATTGGAAAATTGATCTTAAACAAAACTTACACACTCCCTTGCAGGCATTCAACTGGACTTGAGCTACCCCAGCTAAAGTTATTATTAGAAATATCACTGTGCACAATAAAGTATAAAAAAATTGTTTGCTCGTCTAGTTGCAATCAAACTGACAAGAACCATTTCAACTCATAAATTAGCAAGTGAAATGAAGTATAATTAGTCAAGTAACTTTACATACATTTGTTTGTTTGATTCAAGGACCCAGTCAGGAATTGTCCCTCCTAGCTTGTTCCCAGTAAGATATCTACATTATATAACATGTAAAAGTTGTTTTGCTGGTCATATGAACGAGATGTCACTATACGATAGTTCAATCATTTCAGCTACTTACACAAATTTTACACTTCCAAGTTGAGCAAAAGTATCTGGTATCTTTCCAGTCAAGTTATTGAAACTCAAATCTCTACAGCAATCAAAACATATGTGATTTATTGTTACAATGTAAGATTATCCAAAAGTATAACATCTGGTTTTTTTTTTTGCTCAAAAAAAAAAATAACATCTGGTTTTGAAGATGAACATAAATAATCAAGTAAAACCTGTCTTGTGTGTGCAATATAAGCTACCGTCGCAAAATTACCATCAAGATTTATAAATTTCTTTACATCACAAACAAACCCGTAAGGTAAACTACCATAGTACTAGTCTTTGAACCTAAGTGGTAGAGAAAATGTATTGCTTTGTTATCAGATTTTGCCATAATAAATCTCAACAGAAAAGCACATCCATGCGAGGTCTAATCAATAAACTGTTATAGAACTACTGCACACTTCTTTTTTCTCTATATGAGTGAGTAAATGTGAGAGGAGGTGTAAAAGAATTATTGTGGGAACAGCATAATTTTTGTTCGTCACAAATGAAAGTTATTTTTGCCTTATAATTTATCCAGACTCTTTTTTTCTTTTCCTTTTTTATCTTTCCAACCATGATAGAAATTAGGTTTTAGTTTCTATTTCTTTTCTAGTAATTTGTGTTAAATATCATCATAAACTCAAATGGCCTGCTGAACAAAAAATAAAAATAAAATATAAGCGACTCGAAGAGCAAGTGGGCAAGCAACTTGGGCAACGGGCAGCATTTTGGGCAGCTCCACCATCTAGTTTAAATAGGTGTCTTTGGTAAGTCATTTTGCGCCCAGGAAGTAGAAACAAGAAAGCCAGTGTGGTGAAAAGAGTAGGGGAGAGGTGGAGTAAGGGAGTGAGTAAAAAAAGAAAACACAAAAGAGGAAAGAGGGGGAAAAGCAAGAAGAGGAGTGACGGAAGAAAGGAGAGAGAGAGAGTGAAAAGTTTGTTGTTTAGTGTATTTTGTAATTTGAATGTGTAATAAAGTTTTCTCTTTCCTTAAGTCCCTCTTCTCATTTCTTCAAGTATCTTGGATATTTTCCGTTCATAGATCCTATAGGTTGCTTATAATTCACAATTTCTTTCACTACTTTGTCCAGTTCATTTATTTCTAAACAGGAGCTTTTTCGACATCTAAAGACTAGTTTGGAAGGATTTAACGGGAAGGGTGGAATTAATGATGGTTAGAAAATGATTGAGGGTGAAAGTGGGTTCTTACCCCAAAAAAAACACAAATTCCAAAACCCCTTTAAATTTAGGGAATTTGGGATGGCTTGGTTCCTTCTGTTTATTTTTTTTACCTTTTGTCAATTACTATCTTAAATTTTATCAGCCAGATATTCTTCCTTTTTTTTTCCTTTATACTTTATAAGGTTTCTGTTAAAAATGTATACTTCAAGATCTTGGCTTGTTTCATGCTTTCTGGTTGAAATGAAACTGGACAGGGCAATATGTACAGGTGAGCTCTTCTACTTCTACAAATTTAAGGAATAGAAGGAAAGGAATTTAACCAGAAAAGGAAAAAGGGAATGGTGGAAAAATGACAGTCAAATCATAATTTGACTTGCCCATATTTGTGAGTATTCTCTTCCAAAAATTTTCTAGAAGAAAGGAACGTAAAACTTTAATAGAGGGAGGACTTTGAAAGTGTTTAGAGGATTAATTGAAATTCCACAATTCTCCTCCCCTCCTTATGAAAAGCTCCCAAACATCATCACCCATGCAAATATAAACTTGCTGTCATGCTATACATGGACATGATCAAGACAATATTGATTATTCCATGATATCTTGCAAGCAAGACTGTGTCGAAAGACAACATGGTTGATAGATTTTAACGTTATTTCTGAATGACTTACAAGGTTGTCAGGTTTTCCATTTTCCCAATATCTTCTGGGATCTCCCCTTTAATCATACAGTTCCTCAATATCCTGCGTTGTGATATCCTCATCCAAGTTAAATACAGATCATTTTGAAAGAATTTTAGGAGGAAAAGAAAAACATTCAAGTCGTTGAACTCACAATTTCTTCAAGGATTTCATCTTGCTTAATGATGGGAAATCAGAGGCTCCACCTTTTAGGTCAGTTATCCTCCTAAATATCAAGCAATAACAAAAGCAATCATATTCTATATTTTCCATCTTTCATTGTGAGGAATTCTGAAGTACAATATGGTGCAGAGCATTCAATGGTTATCATTTATTCTGCGCATGTGGAGCCCACACGTCCGGTTGTCGAAATTAAATCCTGACCGTTTCATGTACAAACACCATATTGTACATTTCTCGTTCCATGATAAAATGAATGAATATATGATACTGCAATGCGTACAAATCACTTAAGCTTGTCAAGGCTGAAATGCTTGAAGGTATGGGCCCCTCGAGAGAACAACCCTCCATGTGCCTGAAAAAAAAAATTGGTGTAGTAAGCTACAAGCCGACAACAAATACAAAAATACAGAAAGAGAGAGCTGGGGTCGGAGGAAACTTACAGCGTTTTAATTAATGTCCAGTTACTAACAAAATCAGGAATCCTCCCAGAGAGGTTATTGTCACTTATCCTCCTAGAATGTATCCCCATAAGGATAGTTCAGCATAACAACAATGTAGAAAAAGAAAAAGAAAGGAAACATGAAAAAAAAATCCGTCTAGAATTATGTAAATGCTATAGTTCTATAGCTCATGATATAAAATAGAGGCCAATGAATCAATCACTTTATGTTCTGATCCTAATGACAAGGTGTACAATTTCAGTCCCCTAATTTAAAGTTTGCTCCTGGGAGGTTTGTATATGGCCTTTGGACTCTCCAACTACTTAAGTTAGCTGTTAGCGTTTGGCTCCCGAAAGTTCGCATAACTTTACCATCCTCCATAGAATAGTTTGTTTGATTTGGATTAGGAATAAACTAGCTTGATAAGAAAGCAAAGGCTTACAAATCAGTCAAATTCTTCAACTTCGAAAGTTCAACTGGCAATTCTCCAGTAAATGCATTTGACGACAGATGTCTGAAAGACACACAACGTTATTCAGGTTAAACAGCACACATTAGTATGTTAGGGAGGCAGCAGCATCAGATTTGTACCATCATATTCGTATGAGGCAAATAAAGTAAGGTGAGAGAAATTACAGTTTTTCTAACTTGACCAACTTTCCAATATCCGGTGGAATGGGACCGGAAAATAGATTTCCTTCAATAGTCCTGTAATATTTGTGCAAATATTTAATTCAGCAAATAAAACAATTTGAAATCACACTAAGTTGGCAATGCTGACAAGTCGTGTCCAGTTGCCTCTAGATAGGTATAAAAGTTGCACGTCTGGGGAAGGGGACTAATCCCAAACAAAGTTAGGGAATACTGTTGATGATGAATTTTTTTTTTTAAAAAAAATAATTATGATAGTAGAGGGGAGATTAACCGAGTCGATTATACGTTTATCCGTTCACTTTCTTTTCAACATGAGAAATCTAAATAAATTTGCATGCATATAAACATGAACATAGAAATCTATCCCAACATACAGGCTCTGGAGAGTCGTGATGTTCGTGAGAACTGTGGGGAATGGACCTGACAATCTGTTCCCCATAATCGAGCTGCATATTTAACAAAAACTAGTAATTATAGTTGAAGAGAAGCTATTCAAGAGAGCCGATTAAGCGGAGAGTGCATGGCCGAAAGTTCTCACAGGTCAACCAATTGCATACTGGCCCATTGGTTAGGTATAGAACCATCGAGGATGTTAAGATTCAGGGTCCTGTTTTGGTGCACAAGATAAGATAAATTATCAGGCCTGAGGCTTGCATTGGCCATATAAAATGTAGAGAATTTAACTACAATTTTTTGGTATGTGTACTATTAATATTAGACTCAATGGAACTCAAGCTTCAAATGATATTAAAATTAAGAATAACCTGGCAGCGTGTCGGTTTAACCAGATTCTTTAGGGGAAGTAGCAAAGAAACACTCAACTCGTCAAGCATCCACGATGCTAGAGACTCTCCCAAACAACACTCACTGATTTCTTGCCCACCCCATTCGTCCCTCATGCGATAATAACTAGCTTAGCCCAATCAGCTACAAGCCAAACAGAATGAAAGCATAGTATTTTTCACAATTCAACACCAGAAAAGTATAGCTGACTCAGTGAAAGTTATTAACATTGCGTTTTCATTCGATAACTTGATAACAAAGACTCAAAGGTTTGTTTACAAGGCGGATATTGCATGGAAGCGAAGGGAAAATTTCATCAAGACATTTCCATATTTGGGGAGGGCAAGGAGTATAATGTAGGCCTTCTTCATAATTTTTAGTTTTCCCAATTAGTGGTAATTTCAGGAAAAAGTTTTCCCAGAGAAAGGGAAGGAAAATTATCATTTAATCATCTTTCTACTTCACTCTCTCTCTCTCTCTCTCTCTGTTCTATAGATTCTTTCCTTTCTTCGACTCTCAACTCTCACACATACCCTAAAGAATTTTAACTTTACATTTTGGGGCCATGAATAAGTGGATGCCACAGAAACATCATTGAGAGCAACAAAAGATCATTAACTTTAATAGTAGACATCTGGTTTATCTTACAATTTCTCGAGATGATTTAGCTTGGAAAACTCTGGCGGGATAGTACCAGAAAGATTCTGAGACTTCAAGGATCTGCAAATGTGCAATGCGAAAAAAAAAATTAGAACATGTATGGAGCAAAAGTTTTTTACTCATGGATAGCTGACTTATATAAAATTTGAAGAACACAAAGCACTACCAATTGCTTTTAACGAGAATTGGAATATGTACTCATTGCATGAGACTACGAAATATTTTTGAAGGCATAAAATCATTGTCAAATAGTGAATACAGGGAAGTACCATGGAAAAGAAAATAAGATAATATGCAGGATAGACTCTTTCCAAGTAAGCGTTTTGCAACCTTTTATATTTTTTTTTTAAAAAAATTGTTTTAATAAATGCAGAATCAAAATTGTAAAAATAAAAATTTTAAACTGCATCGTAGCAACCATGAGCATGATGCAATGAGCTCGGGGAGGAAAAAAAGTGGATCGTGAGGATGGTAAGAGAGCAGTACATGCTTACGACATGGCAAGAAGACTTGTTACATTTACAGACCACAATGCTCTCAAAGTTGGTGCTGTCATCAGACGCATTAAACTGCCTTTTCCCACTGCAAGGATCCTCTCTTTCAAGGTACCAATCATTCTTCCCTATTTTCCTCGCTATTTCTTTCAATGTCTTAGCTGCATTATGCACAATTCAAACACAACCATGAATAAGAAAATAGAAAACCACAAAAGGAAATAACCATTACACAGCATACAATCCTGATAAGTGCTCCGAAGCTACGCACATCAGTTATACAGCCTTATCTTCGTGTCTTTAAGGATCCAAGAAACTTGGCTCCAATTGCTAAGCTAATCTTCTTAGGTTTTTCTAATACCAGATATTCCAAAATTACTAGTTTTCGTTTCGTTATTTCGAGTTACCAAAAACCAAGCAGGTGAACTGCATTGAGTAATTCAATGCTGAAACATACTCCAGCAAATTCTAAACATGGAAAAATACGAATACAACCATACGAGGAAGGGAAAAAAAATGCTGATCAAGCATAATCAAATGCATCCTGTGGTGTCTGACATAAATATTGAGCAGTAATCAACCACAGCAACGAACTCTGGTTTTCTGATTCATACGCGCTTACCTTCTTCACTGTCGAGAATGCCTGTGTCCGCGAAAGCGAATTGTGAGAGAAAGAGCTGGGAAGTGGAGGCAGTTAATAGAAAGAGAACGAAAAGCTTGGTATCCATGTAGTGGTTTTCTGATTTGAGCTGAAGCTTGCTCAGGTAAAAGCAGAGCAAAGAATGAAGAACGCTATTTATATGACATTAACCAGAAAAATACGGGAGAATTACTGTAAGTTGGCACACACAAAATTTAAATCAAAAAAAAAAAATCTTACAAAATTACTTTAAAAACCATCCGTTATCAAAGGATTCGATTTGTGATATTAAAGTTGCCAATTATATTAGATAGTTGTTAATATAAAGTTGTTCACTAAGCAACAATAATCAACAATTATCCAGCCGAAATTAATAAGGTTAGTAAAAAATTTGAGATTTCAGAATAATTTTGTGAGTTCATGTGATTTCTATATATTTAGATTTCTTGGGTAGGATTTTAAAATAATTTTCTCGACAAAAATATTAGCAAATGAAATGAATCTCTTTTTTTGTGTATTTGTTGTTCGTGCTTTTCTCTAGTTTAATTTTTATAATTAATTAATAGAAGTCATCTTAATCTCTTTACGTTTTTTTTCTAACAAAAATGATTGTTACGTGACAAATGACAACGTAAAATTTGAGATGGAATTAGTAATCATTACTAAAATGTTTGAATCATAAAATTGATGAATAAATGTGGTATTTGAACCTTGAAGTTGAAAGAATTAACGTGTTTAGAGGAAAAGAAAGAAGTCAACTACGAAAATGGAAATTTGGAAGAAAGATGCAAAAATTGCTGAATATAAAGTATGGTCAAAAGCTACTATCATACAAGGCATTGGTTCAAATTCAACTATTAGCCATAGGTCATTGTGGTCCAAGTCTAAAGAAGGGGAACGTACGTTAGTGCTGGCTTTTAACTTTTAAAGACTTAAAGTAAACGGTGCTTTTTTTTTTGTTTTATTTTAAAAAAAATATCAATAAATTTTAAGAATAAATTATCAAAATCCCAAAAAAAGAAAGTGTGTCTGACGTACAATTTACTGTTTTTTATATAAAATTTTAGGCAAATTAAGTTCAACAACCCACTAGAATCATGACATACTTTCAAAATCAAAGTACTTAAAAAATCTAGCAACAAGGTCCTCCTAACAGAATTAGAATTAATTACCTTATAAGTTATGAATTAAATTCTTAATTACCAACTAAATTAAGAGTCGTTGAGGATCAAATCTGAAAAAATATGTCTAATGTACAATTTACTTTAATGCTTAAGGCTATTAACATATTAACAAATTTAATTTTTTCTAATTCTAATTGAGATATTCAAAAGATGGCTTGGTAATTCTATTTATGAAAAATAATTAATATATGAAGAATTAAACTATTTCGATAAGAATTTAAAAATTTGAAACTAGGACAAAAGGTCTTTTAGGGCTTTTTTTTAAATTTTTTTTAAATTTAAAAATTTATTTAGAAAAGTGTTTTTCATTTAGTTATTTTAAAAATTATTTTTATTTTTTGCTTTTAAAAACAAAAAAATAGAAACAACTTAAGTTGTTTTCACTATATTTTTCTTATTTTTAAAATACATTATATTTAATTATTAAAAATTATCGTTATCTTGACAAATTTTTATAATTATTACCATCATTAATTACTTATAATTATTACTGTCAGTTCATTTTTTTTAATTCTAATACTGTCTTTAAATTTACATAGCCAAATAGATTTTTATTTTTTTAAAAAAAATTTAAAAATCATATTACAAAACAGTTTTTGAAAATAAAAAATAAGAATAAAAACCAAACAGGTCCTTAATAAATCAATCTAGTTTGTTACTCTCATTCCACGCATGATTTGTGACCTTTAATATAGTAATTTGTAATTGAGATTTGTTAATTTGTAAAGAAAAAAACTTGTCAAACATATTATTATTCGGCAATATAATCATTTTCCTTCATAAATTAAGGAATGTTGTTCAAAAATTCTTGTTTTGATGGTTGTAAATAAAAGTACAAGAGCAGTAAATTATTAGTAGTTATATGTTTGACAAGTTTTTCCTTTAAAAATTATTATATTTCACCTATAAATTCTTACATTGGTGGCTGTAAATTTTGGAATCAAAGTAACAAATTTTTATGCCAATTCATTACAAAATTTTTTGTCCTTATTTTAAATTTGTCAAATTTTTATCCTTATTTAAGTTTAATTCAATTTTTATTTTTTTATTGTCATTTTTTATGAGTATAAGGACTAAGCTATTTTGATAGTAGAGAATTAGAGATTATCTTCTCAAAACATTAAGAGGGAATGGCAAATGTAACATCCTAGAAAATTTAATTTAAGGTTAATGGATTAATTAAGGATAAATTAGACAATTGAGAGTTAACTTAGATTAAAAGATAATGTATAGAAGGCTAATGGGTTTATCGAATCCTAATTAGGGCTTCAAATTGGACCCTAGATGGTATTGGGTCACATTTGGGCTCAATTAGGTGGACAATGTTTGGAATTTAAAATTTTAATCTTTGGCCGTAACCAAAGGTGTAACATTCAAAAAAAATTTAATCATGGTTTATTAACCTAATGAGGGTGATTAGTGAGTTAATAAGGTGTGTGCCCAGAAAAGCTTAACTTGGCGTAATTGTTGTGATTTCAGCCTTAGAAGTAGGTTCAGATCGATGGCAGGCCACCCAGGCAAGGAAAGAGAAAGAAAAAGTGAAGAATTATCCGCTGTGCTACATGCCGCGGCGCATGGTCAGTCTACTGCGGCGCACAAAGATGAATTTGAATGCAACGGGCTCTTCTATGCCATATGCCACGGTGGAGGGTAGCGTGCGTTGTAGCGTACGATAAAAAATCAGATATATCTAGTTCATATTTGCGTGAGGAAACAGAAGAGAGGAAAGGGAAGAAAACGAAGAGATCTACTTTTACTTTGCTAGGTCATATTGTGGGATCACATTGAGGCTAGATTAAAGCTCCCAAACACCTAAGGTAAGTTTATCATGCCTTCTTCTTCCCTTCTCTCCCTCATTTATGATGATTTATGGTAGGGTTTGAGTTGGAAGATAGATTTTCGATCCATAGAATTATGGGTCCAATTTCATTGGTTAAAATGAGTATAATGGGAGTTGTTTAAGGTATTGGAACACCACATTAATGATTTTGGAAGTGGTTGGTCCATAGGAGCATTAAATACTCAAAAATTGATATTTATGAGGTAATTAAGAGAGGTTTATATACATTAATGATGGTTTAAGGTATTATTAATGATAATGTGTATTAATGAAATCTGATGAACCCATTGGGTATGAATGGGTAATGACTATGGGTTGATATAATAGAGTGTGTAGAATTATGTGCTGATAAATTTTTAAGATTGAGACAATAATGATACTCTTGTGGTATAATTGTAGTGTGGTTCATTTTATCACCATTTGAGCTTGTTGAAGCTTTAGAAAGTTGGTATAGTAAGGGGTAAACCTTTGACCTCTCAAAGGTTTAAGGTAACCCAGGGAAACTTAACTTTTATAGTTGAATGTTAATTGTATTTGTGAAATGTGATTAATGATTTAAATGTATGATGCATATTGGCAATATTTGACTTGTGAAATGATTTTAAGAAAAAAAATGTTGATTATGCCACTTACTTGTGATTTAAAAATTTACTTGTAGCATGTTGTTACAAAAGTGGAGATTTGTAATATGTAATATATTGAACGTGTGGAGTGATTTAATATGAGTATGTGAGATTGTTAGCCATGAAATTACTGTTTAAAATGCATTTATGTAAGAAATGTGTATAGCATGATCATTGGCGGGAGTTCGCCTAGGGAGAGGAGTAGATTGGTTGAAATTCACATGATACTAGCAATGACTGTTGGAATTGGGAACTAGCCTTGGCACCGACCATTAGAATCAAGAGGTAGCCCTTGTCCCATGATTAATTTAGGACTATCCCACTTATCCTACAAGGGCCTTGAACCTAAATAGTCTCCACCAGTTTATGAGGAAGCTAGGTTAGGGGTACAACACCCCATGGTTGTTAGTATTGAGGGAAATGAGATTACATAAATGAGTGAGTTCACCTTGGCTCAGTAGCTCCTCACAAGTAAAAGGCTGGGTTAGTCCGTGAAGGACGTAGCCACGTGATAGCCACCAGTTTCGTGTTGGAGGTAACAAGAGGATATAAAATTGGCATATGATCATGCATATAAATCCGGCCATATGGTTGTTAGTTTTGTGGTCTGGCACATGATAAAGGCACATGGTTGTTATTATTGTGGCCTTGTGTTGTGCTTGTGAGATATCATGATAAAGTATGTTGTGGTAAGCTCGGTCACATAGTTGTTAGTTTTGTGAACCGTAGCTAAGTGTTTATTCATTATATCTATGCTTATTTGCCTATTTGTATCTATTTTCAATTGATATATAACTGTATGAGTTAGGTAAAACTTTGTTACTGAGTGGTTGTACTCATTCCTTAATTTTTAATATTTTTAGGACCTAACTCATCGAATCTGAATCGAGGAAAACACACAGAGGCCTAGGATTGTGGAGTAATCCTCTTTATGCCTATTTTTGTTACTTTTATGTGCATTTATTGATGTAATTGCCAATTAGAATCATTTAAAATAATTTATACACTACTTGCATGATTTTGTGTATCACTGGTGTATTTTGTGCCTTAGGTTGTGAGTTTTCATTGTAAACTCATGGATAGGGTCAAAATACTTATGCAAGTAGAAACATATATATTTTGAAAGATTTGGGATGAAATTGATGATTTTATACAACTTTTCCTCCCCTTTTATGTTTTGTGAAAATGGGGTTGAGTGGTGATTTTATAATATGAGTGTCTTCGATTGTGTGTGGTGCATTGCACGGGTCCATTAGACTCTATTAAGTATGGTTAGATGGTTGGTGTGAGCTGTTGACACATATAGTTGAGTTGGGACACCTCATTTATGAAATTTTATGAAAAAGTGGTCAAAATGGGTTTTGGTGTCCAACTTTTTTATAGAAAATAAGTTTGAGTGGGAAACTAATTCTATTAGCTAAAGTTAGGAGAAAACTCAATGTAGACATCGAAACCATCTTAAT